ACTTTTTTTTTTTTTTTTTTGAGACAGAGTCTCGCTTTGTTGCCTAGGCTAGAGTGAGTGCCGTGGCGTCAGCCTAGCTCACAGCAACCTCATACTCCTGGCTCAAGCAATCCTTCTGCCTCAGCCTCCCGAGTAGCTGGGACTACAGGCATGCGCCATGCCCAGCTAATTTTATATATATTAGTTGGCCATAGTTTCTTTCTATTTATAGTAGAGACAGGGTCTCGCTCATGCTCAGGCTGGTTTCGAACTCTGACTCGAGCAATCCGCCCGCCTCGCCTCCAGAGAGCTAGGATTACAGGCGTGAGCGCCGCGCCCAGCCGGAAGCTTACTTTTGAACTCATCTAGAAGGTGAAAGACATATCAAGACCACTTAAATTCCATCACTATAATCTACAAAGAAATGCGGCTCTGCAGCTGGCAGACTGGGCACAATCCTGGCTCTGCTACTTAGACCTGTGAGACAGGACACATTCCATAACCTTACTATTCCTTATCTGCAAAAAGATCAGGATAACTACTTTCCAGGATTTTTGAGGATTAGGAAAAAACACATACAAAATATCCTGTACAAGCATGTTGCTCAAGAATAGATTCAACTGTCATTAGCAAAAAAAGCTTAGGCTGGCGCGGTGGCTCACGCTGTAATCCTAGCTCTCTGGGAGCGCGACGGGCGGATTGTTCAAGGTCAGAGTTCAAAACACAGCTGAGCAAGAGCGAGACCTCATCTCTACTATAAATAGAAAGAAATTAATTGGCCAACTAATATATATGGAAAAAATTAGCCGGGCATGGTGGCGCATGCCTGTAGTCCAGCTACTCGGGAGCTGAGGCAGGAGGATCGCTTGAGCCCAGGAGTTTGAGGTTGCTGTGAGCTAGGCTGACGCCACGGCACTCACTCTAGCTGGCAACAAGTGAGACTCTGTTCAAAAAAAAAAAAAAAAAGCTTAGAAAAATATTTTTTGGATATATTTAGACTTTTAGCCTCCATAACCTACTGAGGTAATAAGAGGTACTTCAAACACCATTTCCACATTAGAAATTTTACCCACTCTCAAACACCTGAGTATGGACTGTCCTTGGTTTATATTAACAGTGACAGTACTCTCTGCCATCAGCAGAAATAAAGAGCAGACTAAGCCGGGCGTGTGGCTCACGTCTGTAATCCTAGCACTCTGGGAAGCTGAGGTGGGCGGATTGCTCAAAGTCAGGAGTTCGAAACCAGCCTGAGCAAAAGCGAGACCCCGTCTCTACTATAAATAGAAAGAAATTAATTGGCCAACTAATATATATAAAAAGAAAATTAGCCAGGCATGGTGGCACATGCCTGTAGTGCCAGCTGCTTGGGAGGCTGAGGCAGGAGGATTGCTTGAGTCCAGGAGATTGAGGTTGCTGTGAGCTAGGCTGATGCCATGGCACTCACTCTAGCCTGGGCAACAAAGTGAGATTCTGTCTCAAAGAAGAAAAAAAAAAACACAGAAATTAATTGGACAACTAAAATATATACAGAAAAAATTAGCCGGGTATGGTGCGCACATGCCTGTAGTCCCAGCTACTTGGGAGGCTGAGGCAGGAGATCACTTGAGCCAGGAGTTTAAGGTTGCTATGAGCTAGGCTGACGGCATGGCACTCTACCCTAGGCAACAGAGTGAGACACTGTCTCAAAAAAAAAAAAGAGCAGACTGGATCTCTATGAACCAATAATGGGATGAAACAGGCTTTAAAATCTGTTGTAGTAAAAATTCTGCAGGGAAATAAAATTTAAAACTGTGAGCAAGGTGCCACTCAGACACTCACCGCTTGGTGCCCTTTGATTTGGGATTTTTGGCGAACAGAGAAGTGTCAAGTGACTCCAGGGACTTTCCTTTGGTGCTGAATAGTCTCTGGGCTCGCTCTTCTAGAGTCCTAAGGAGATAGGAGGGGAAAAGGATTCTAGGGTCACTTTACCACATGGGCTCGCTTATTTTTGCAGAGTGGGGTGACAGAAAAAAAATGTAATCAGAGCCACTTAGAAGACTGCACAAATGGATAGTATGTAAGACCATTTTGGTGGAAAAACCATTTCTTACCCGCCACATTTCAGGCCTAAAGCTAAGAGTGCAGATTTCAATCTGTCCAGACCCAGGGAGGCAACTCCTGTATAAAAAAGACAAATTACAACATTATATAAATAGATTTGGGGAAATAGCAAGTGAAGGCCATTCTGATGCTGTGGTAGGACCACACATTCTATAGCCAGTCTCCTAGCATTAAGTCCAAAACTCTCCAAAGGATGACTCTGTGGTCATGTTCAGATTTAACTACACTGGTAACATTCTATTTATTACCTCTACTACAACTTAATGTAGCTGTATTATTATTTGGCTGTTTTCAAAGTAGTTATTCTTTTATCTTTCCGCTTTCCTTGCAGATGCTTGGTCCCAGGAAATGGTCTCTTATATAACACAACCATGGTATTAAAGACAGGAATGTTGAGTGGTTTCTCTGAAAGATGGACATGGAGACCAATACCATTGCTGAGGAAAACATACCTCCCAGGAGGAGAATGCAGAGAGGTCAAGATGGCTCCAGCATGAGTCAGGGCACTGCTTGTCTCTTTCTGGCAAGAAAATAATATGATGCTTATTAAAGATCCAGGAATAGGATGAAGGTAAAGGGGCTATCTAAATGCCAGGTGCTGGTTGGCCTTTCTTATACACATTTATGAATATGGATCAAATTCCTATAGGAGCAAAAACAAACAAAAAATCCAAAAACCTACTGAAACCTCCCTCTCTCACCAAAAAACCCAGATGGCCCATTCTCTCCCTGAGGTTGAGGAAAAACTCAGTATTATCTCCAGAAGTGAAAATATATAGATTTCTAGCACATATCTAGTAGGTTTTGGTCAGGGAACTACACAGCACTCATGATGTGGTTAGTGAAAATCCTGGGCCAGTCAATGGCAAGTGGGCCCTGATAAATCTCATTCCAAAGTACACAAAGAAAACCTAGCATACTTGGCAGGAACACTTCATGGCCCCAAATGATACCGAGGGATTGATATCTAAACTCTAAAGTGTAGGCTCAAGATTAATGTAAATAATATAGTTCAATTCCCTGATATCCTCTACCCACACTCCAATGAAGCTCACCGGCCATCCAGGGAAGTACCATTGTCCCACTTCTTCTCAAACTCAGTCTGAATCTTCCCAAAAAGTTCATTCTGATCTTGGAGGGGCTTCACTCTATCTGTGTAATCCTGAAGGTACTCAAGCAGCATCTCTAGGTATCTACAGAGGAACATGCAACATAGATAAAGTAAAAAGGGTTTCTGTTTTTGATATAATGTTATGCCCTATGTATACTATAAGAATATAAATACTTGTAATTAGTTAGCACTAGTTTTAAAATAGTATTTTTAAATGAACTTTAAATTGAATTTTTTCCCAACATGTTATTTTGATTCTGACCTTTCCTAAATCTTCATCCCTCATGAACAATGCCAAATGCTAAGGTCTTAATTCTCAATCATATAAAAGATTTCAGGTAAAAAGAAAATGAGAAAAAGAGAGGAAGTTAGGGTATAAGATCATTAAACTCCAAAGCCACATAGATCCCTGAATAGGATTTCCTTCTACAATAAGACAAAATTAAGAAGAGTATAGGCATAAGATTGAAAATATACCAACAGACACCTGCTTGTCCAAAGCCGTATTACAATTTTTTTAAGAGACAGGGTCTTACTCTGTCACCCTAGTAGAGACGGGGTTCTCACTCAGGCTGGTTTGAACTCCTGACCTCGAGCAATCTGCCTGCCTCAGCCTCCCAGAGTGCTAGGATTACAGGCGTGAGCCACTGCGCCCAACCCTTTTTTTTTTAGACTAGTGAAGTGCAGTAGTGAAGAGGGGGAAAGTAGTAGAACAAGGCATTCAATCTGTAACTGACTGTGAACAATCAAGTGAGATAACTCACTACCTTTGGACCAGCCAAAAATTTCTATTTTTGCAAAAATAAAATATGCTTGTTGTATTCACTGTAGAAAACTGACTTTCGTTTTAAATACTGTTTTATTCAAAGAAAGCATATCACTTCTTTAATATTTATACAACAGTTACAAACACAAGGAAAACACTCTGTAATTGCTTCATATCTAGTAGTAGCAGAGCAGTGTCCTGACTCACCCCTTAGAAGCGGAACCTCTCCCTCCCACTGCCCAGGCCTCACCTCAGATGCCTTCAGGTTAATGTACTTGAGGTAACAGTCATGGAGATCAAGGTAACGACCATATCCCTCTTCATCCGTGAACTCCACCAAGTCTGAAGAGATTAGATATGTCAATGATTCAGAATTCAGGGATCCTCAAACTACGGCCTGAGGGCCACATGTGGCCACCAGGTGTTTCTGCCACTGCTGCCTGTCCTGCTTAGCAGCTGACTTGTCCCGGGCCCACAGTACGCACATGTAGAATGTGCGTCGCACTCTCCAATGGCCCTCCAACGGTCTGAGGGACAATGAACTGGCCCCATGTTTAAAAAGTGTGAGGACCCCTGATTCAGATACTATAGACCACTCTCTTGGACTTGCCTTTTCACCCCAAATGTTTTCCTTATGCTTCAAAAAGTAAACAGACCACAGCTTTCCAGGCCAGTGAATTTGAGCCAGGATAGCACAAAATGAACATTATGTTGGCCAATGAATTTCTTTCTATTTTTAGTAGAGATGGGGTCTCACTCTTGCTCAGGTTGGTTTCGAACTCCTGACCTTGAGCGATCCACCTGGCTTGGCCTCCTGGAGAGCTAGGATTACAAGCGTAAGCCACTGAGCCCAGCCTAACCTATACTTTTGCTTGTGCTGAAGAGAAAGGTTAAACCCTGCTTACTTTGCGCCTCTTCACTTGGATTCTCTCGAGCCTTCAGGAGCTCCTCAAATTCCACTGACATTGGAACACAGATCTGAGGGAAAAAGAAAAGCTCAGGTGGACTTTTCAATGTAAAAGTTGCAACATCACAGAAATGGGGTGTACAGAAAGTTGGACTTCTGATGCTTTATTTGGCCTTGATTTTTCACTAGTAGTCTATTACTGCTCTCCAATTACTGTGCTTTTTTCCCTTTATGTACTGACTAAAAACTGCTGAAATAACACATACTCACAAACCTCAAATAATACAAAAAGAAAAAATGAAAAGTGAAAGTCTCCCTTTATTAATTCTCCTGAAAATAGATTTTTTTCTATGTTAGAGGTTCTCAAACTTTGAGAATTATCTGTAGCAGCGTCTAAAAATCCTGATGCATCTGATACCAACTAAATCAAAGTGGGGCAGATTCCAGTACTTTTTAAAGATCCCCAGGTAACTCAAATATGCCTAAAAGTCTGGAAACTACTTCTCTGTGGGTTTTTTTTTTTTTTTTTTGAGATGGGGTCTCGCTATGTTGCCCAGGCTGGTCTCAAATACAGGAGCTCAAGCCAGCCTCCTACCTCAGCTTCCTGAGCAGCTGGGATTACAGGTGCGAGCCATTGTGCCCAGCAATTCTATGTATTTAAAGACATGTATCTATCTGTACAAGCACATTCATGCCTGCACAGGTTTTTTTTTTTTTTACATAAATAGACTTGCTTTTTTCACTTAGTGTATGCTGGCCATCCTTCTAATCAGTTATTTAACTATTTATTCCTTATTATCTTTCGATCATGGCTGCAACAAGGTCAACACACCAGAATAGTACTCCTGTCTTCTCTCCTGCTTAGTAGAAGACCTCATACTCTATCCTCAAAGGGGGATGGGTGTGGGTGTGTGAGGGTACCTTCATCTACCTCCACAGTACATACTTCAATAAACAGCCTCTACTTTCTGGGTTTTTTTTTTTTCCTCCTCCTTTTTCTATTAGCTTCTTCAAATATCTCTCCATATCTTCCTTAAGACCTCTTCTTTTCCTGCCAACGTTTCAAATGCATGTTCCACAATCCATACTTCTATTTCCCCATTACTCACTTTTACCTGTGACCAGATTTCCATTCCCACTACTTTAATGAATCCTGACAGTCACCAATCAACGACAGTTGGTACCATGACTTTCTGAAACTCTTGCTTCAGTAAGACAGTACTATCTGGAGCTGTCATTTGACCCTTCTGATGGAAGTCTTCCTTCCTAGGCCCCTTTTCTGTTAACTACCTACTGTAAGTGTGTCCCACAAAACACATGGAGAAGCTCTGACAGTCTGCCTTCACTTTCTCTCTCCCAGAACTCAAGGATTCATGGCTCAACTATCAAGTCTATTGTGACAGTTCCCAAATCTAAATTACAAACCTTTACTTCTTGCATGGAGGTAACCAACTCCAACTGCTTAAGAGTCACTTCTATATATATATAACAGTACCTAAAAATCTACATATGTAAAAACTCATTTTTCACTACAAATGGGTTACCTCCTTCTTCTGTATTTCTATCAAAGAACAAACAACTTTTCAGTTACACAGTCATGAAAGCTCAGAGTAATCTCCGACTCATCCTTCTCCACCCACCTTGCAGAGATGTCTTACTCCTTATAATCTTACAGTGTATCGGGTGGACATTTATTGTCACAAAACATGACAGGATTATAAAGAAAGATTAATTTTAGGGGGTAGTTTAGGAAAGATACCTCATGAAAGAGGAAAGAGTTGGCCTATGCGCTGAATCCTGAAGGTGTAATGAACTTTGGAAGTGACTAAAGTATCTTTGTTTTAGGTGGATCCTCTAGGTAGAAGATTTCAAGACAGAGTTAGAAGTACAAACTTATTGGGAAAACAATCCAGTGAAAGATAAAAAGGAGAAAGCAGGATTGGAAAGGGACAACTTAGACCACAATGCAGATTGGACAAAACCTCAACCAACCCAATGAAGAGCTCTGAAGCAAATATTAGTCATCAGAGGTGTCTCATACTGGGCGGAAACAGCTATGCCACAGTACCTCCACTGTACTCAGTCTCTGGGTAGGAGCTGCCTGGGAAAAGTGTGGTTTGGTTTAAAAGCTGAGGGGGAATCCTGAAAACACTATGGTTAAAGGATGTCTGCTAACTATGCCCAATGCAGCTAAATGGCAAGTTCTTTCTTGAAGGGAGATCTTAGTGGAACACCTCAATTTTCCCTACTTTACTTATTCTTTGGATAGGTTAGGAGAAAATACTTTTCTAAGTCCATACCTCATTTGGGTGCTTCCTGTGGAATTCCTTTATTTGCTTGAGTCTATTATAGAATTCAGCAAACTCATTGGGTCCAGAAATAGCATTAAGCTCCTCCTTTCGTAACCTGTGATTTCAAGAAAAATCCAAAGAGCACAGAGCACACTGTCAGTCCTTTAACCATAGCTCCCCAAAAGCACTAACTCTCCTGGATCAGCTGTGCTTGTCACTTACCCATCCTTATCGTCATACAAATCCCTCAGGTTCCCACTGACCTCCATATACCTCTGAAAGGCAAACACAGACCATTAGAATGAAGTGATTTTTACAAGTGTAGAGCTAAGCAACCAACAAGAATGCTAATCAAAGCACAGGCAACCTCAAGAGACATGGCTTTAAAAGTTCCTGTGTTTTATAGTACCTTCAACAGACAGCCCTGGTTCCTGGTTAGTTTTTAAAACAGGTTGATCTGAAGATTACCTAAGTGATATGATTCGAAGGGTGGCAAGGAGCTCCTATCTTTACATACTACCAATGTCTAGCTTTTCCTATAAGAGACACATCCCCTTTGTCTAAACCAGGGGTCCTCAAACTTTTTAAACAGGGGGCCAGTCCACTGTCCCTCAGACCATTGGAGAGTGCACACTGTGGGCCCGGGATGAGTCAGCTGCTAAGCGTGACAGGCAGCTGCGGTAGCAAAAACACGGGGAGGGCCGGATAAATGTGCTAGGCAGCCCGCATGCGGCCTGCAGGTGGTAGTTTGAGGATGCCTGGTCTAAACAGAAGTTTCCATCTTAAGACCCTCAAAGATAAAGATGATTTTCACTATTTCAAAAAGCTAGATCAAGGAGTAAACAGACTAAATAAATTATCACATAGCTTCTTTTGGAGTCAAAGTATATTAATTCTGGACGGTACAGGTTCACAGACCCTTCTCCAAGACTTCCAAACTAGATTTGTTTCAGAATTTAAATTTTTAAATTCTGAAAGGTACCATATATTATATAACATCCCTAGTGGAAGCTGGAGCACATATTAACAGTTCTGCAGTAAACCTTATGTGTTATTTACCAAAAGGGATAAATAAAGACCATAAAAAGCCTTTAATAGCTTCAGGCCAGCTTTTGCTGCCAAATGAAATAGGGTCAGATTCTGCCACCAAATAATTAACCAACAAAGAACTCCTTGGCTTTCAGAGTTTTGAGGGGGACTAGGGACTTATAATATGATTACCTCTGATTAGGTCTTTTATTCCTTTCTAAACAGATTTCAAACAAATGCCAGAGTACAGAACATAGTATAATGAGCCTCCATTTAACCATCACCCAGTTTTAATAACTATCAACATTTTGGTTTCAACGAGTTTTTTTGGCTCAGCGCGGTGGCTCATGCCTATAATCCTAGCACTCTGGGAGGCCGAAGTGGGAGGATCGCTGGAGGTCAGGAGTTTGAAACCAGCCTGAGCAAGAGTAAGACCCCGTCTGTACTAAAAATAGAAATAAATTAATTGGACAACCAAAAATATATAGAAAAAATTAGCACATGCCTGTAGTCCCAACTACTTGGGAGGTTGAGGCAGAAGGATTGCTTGAGCCCAGGAGTTTGAGGTTGCTATGAGCTAGGCTGACACCATGGCACTCTAGCCTGGGCAACAGAGTGAGACTCTGTCTCAAAAAAAAAAAGGTAAGAAACTGGATTATTACCAGGAAAATGCAGTTTAGTAGGCAAAAGTACTTCAAGACGGTGTCCTGGGAGGAAAACACCAATATACAGCATTCAGGGACAGGATTATACCTTCTGTGCCTGAGTCATGGACTCCTAAAACTGTTCTTTGCACATTCAAGGATACAGGATGCTATAAAAAGGGGCATCTTCCCAAGTAATGGAGAAAGAATAAGAGTCCCCCATTCAAATAGGTGAGGAAGGGCAGTTCAGCACTTTCAGGTTCGGCAGCTGCTTGGACATCCCTGTTCAGGAAGATAATCCACAACTGGCCTATCCAGTTACCTTTGGCCAAGGCTTACGTTGAGATCCTGCACCTCGCTTCCCCTGTTTTCCCGCCCCAGACCCAAAGAGAAGCAGATAGCAGGGCACTCACATCTTGCATGGCTCGAGTGCGGTGGTCAGAATTGATCTGGTCCCGGAGCTGAAGAAAGGCAAACGGTGACACGGGCGCCGTTAGTTTGAGTTCTGGAGTTGGAAAGGCCGCCCGAGGGCGGAGCTTACTCGTTCAGATTTTAGCGGCTAAAGCAGAGGCCTCTGGGACTCTGGGCCCCGGGAGGAGGTTACCAAAGCCGGAGCTCGGAGAGGGATCCCCGGGAGGAGGCGGGAGGCGGGGCGCAGGGAGGGTCTGAGAACCAAAAAAAGCTCTCAGGGGTTAAACAGGATAGAGGCCCAGCTCAGATGTAGTCCCTGCCCAGGTCCCACTCACCGTGGACTTCTTTGTGAGCATCTCTTTGGCCATGACGTCCATAAGCCGTTCCTTCTCCTCATGATAGCGCCGCTGCTGCTCCAAAATTGTCTCCATTTTCTCTTCGCCGCAGCACCCCAACCCAGACCACCAAAAGGGCCGGAAACAACTCCTGTCGCCGTGCGCGCCTGCGTCCCCGCGCTACGCGTCCGGCGGCACCAAAGTTCCGCGAGTGCCGGAAGTACCTCGGGGACTATAACAAAGATGAGCGCCACAAGGAGATCCAGTCTACACTATCGAGATGGCAACAGTGCCCCCTGCTGGTCGGAGGTGTGGTGGCGCGATGCCGAGCGGTTTGCAGCTGCCTCTAGGGGCATAGAAAAATCCAGGAACTGAGGTTGGTGGTCGGCTCCCTGGGGCAGGGACCGTGTGGACTGGGGGGCAGTAGAAGAGTTGGATGGGAGACGGGAAACTGGGACTGGAGGAACTGGAGTCTGTGGCTTTCAGTGTGACCTGTGACAACGTTTCCCCTTCTCTGGACCTCAGTGTCAGTGTCTTTCTCAGTAAAATGGGGATGGTAGTTAAATAACATATGGTACATTCAAGCAGTGAAATGCTATACAGCCTTTACAAAAATGAAGTCTGTATGTCCACTTTTAAGTAGAGAAATGAAAACATGTCCATATGTTCATAGCGGCATTATTCGTATTTGACAAAAATCTGGATGCAACCCAAGTCCATGAATTAATTGGTGAATGGATAAACAAAATGTGGTATATCTATACAGTACAATGGAATATTACTCAGCAATAAAGAAATATCACAATATGCAACTTATATACCCATAATAATTAAAAATAAAAAATTTTAAAAATAAAATTTAAAAAAAAAAGGAGGGCGACTTCCGGGGCCCCCGCTCTTGGGGCCCCAGAACCTCGTCCATAAAAAAAAAAAAAAAAAAAAAAAGGGGGGAGGGCGGCACGGGCAACACATGCTAAGTGAAAGAAGCCAGACAGGAAAATGAAATTTTATTTTTAAATTTTTTATTTTTAATTATTATGGGTATATAAGTTGCATATTGTGATATTTCTTTATTGCTGAGTAATATTCCATTGTACTGTATAGATATACCACATTTTGTTTATCCATTCACCAATTAATTCATGGACTTGGGTGCATCCAGATTTTTGTCAAATACGAATAATGCCGCTATGAACATATGGACATGTTTTCATTTCTCTACTTAAAAGTGGACATACAGACTTCATTTTTGTAAAGGCTGTATAGCATTTCACTGCTTGAATGTACCATATGTTATTTAACTACCATCCCCATTTTACTGAGAAAGACATTGACACTGAGGTCCAGAGAAGGGAAACGTTGTCACAGGTCACACTGAAAGCCACAGACTCCAGTTCCTCCAGTCCCAGTTTCCCGTCTCCCATCCAACTCTTCTACTGCCCCCAGTCCACACGGTCCCTGCCCAGGGAGCCGACCACCAACCTCAGTTCCTGGATTTTCTATGCCCTAAAGGCAGCTGCAAACCGCTCGGCATCGCGCCACCACACCTCCGACCAGCAGGGGCACTGTTGCCATCTCGATAGTGTAGACTGGCTCTCCTTGTGGCGCTCATCTTTGTTATAGTCCCGAGGTACTTCCGGCACTCGCGGAACTTTGGTGCCGCCGGACGCGTAGCGCGGGACGCAGGCGCGCACGGCGACAGGAGTTGTTTCGGCCCTTTTGGTGGTCTGGGTTGGGTGCTGCGGCGAAGAGAAAATGGAGACAATTTTGGAGCAGCAGCGGCGCTATCATGAGGAGAAGGAACGGCTTATGGACGTCATGGCCAAAGAGATGCTCACAAAGAAGTCCACGGTGAGTGGGACCTGGGCAGGGACTACATCTGAGCTGGGCCTCTATCCTGTATCTT